AAATCTCTTTTGAAAGTTCATATACACCACATGAACAGCATTACCCTCTTCTACTTTTCTGTTATCTTGTCAATAAACTCCAACAAGCTGATTAAACATTATTTCCTGTTTAGAAATCAGTGACATTAGAAATGGAGGCTTTTCAAAATCAATCCAACTTTTCAATGTCACCACTAATTCTAGCCTGAATAATGGTTTCTAAACGCTTCCCCGCCTCTGAGGTTTTGGAACAAGGGCTTCTTCTAGCATCTTTCCAAATGTGCGTAGACGATATGATTATAGCCAGTGCCCTTGTCTCTTTCTTCAACTTTTTTTACGCATCTTATCCGGTCCGGGTGCCTTGTCAATTTTAACTACCAAAAGTCTATCAAGCACTTTCTTCTTATCGAGTTTGAACCCTTGTAGAGGCAGAGTATCCTCCTCTGTCACCATGTCTTGGGTAGCACCGACCTCCATGTTGAACATTTGATTGGCTGGCTGTCCTGTAAGTTGGGACTTCCCCTTCCAATGAGGACAGAAATTCACCCTTGGCCAATGAATGGCTCACTCAATATGAAGTGGATGTTAGGAAGCCAATATCAGGGGTCCATGCTCTCCTTGGTTGCTGGGGCATAGTAAACATCTGCCCTAGGTGTTCAATGAGCAATTCTGCTCTCCATATTATGAAAACAATACAATACCATCGAAGAAGGTAGATTTACAGGACTAATATCAGAACCAAAAGGCTATACCTATTTTGAACAGTCTAGGGGACTTTTCTAGAAAAGAGAAGGCTGAGCGGTGTCCTAACAGAGATAAGATTATGAAAGGATTTAGTAAGATAGCCATGGATAAGATATTACAGATAAGACCAAAACTGAAGCCATAAATATAAGAAAATTACTCTAAAATGGAGAGGGAATTCAGGAGAAACTTATTTACTGAAGGAATGGTTAAGATTGTTGAACTCACTATCAAAAGGAAATGACAGTAGGAAGCTCAGAGAAACAAAAGGATCTTGGGGTACTTGTCTATAGATACCTGAAGGCAGGAGGACAGGTTAATAGGGTAGTTAAGAAGATATATGGGCCTTTATCAACCGTGGCACAGATTATAAGAGCAGGGAGGTCATGTTGAAGCCGTACAGAACTTTGGTTAGATCACAGGTAGAGTACTGTGTGCAGTCTGGTCACTACAGTATAGAAAGGATTTGATGGAATTGGAGGAGGAAACAAACATATTTACCAGGATGTTGCCTGGAATGGAGCTTTCCAGCTATGAAGAGAGGCTGGATAAGCTCAGGTTATTTTCTTTAGCACTGAGAGGGGACTTTAATAAGGGTGTATAAGATTATGAGGGACATGGACAAGGTGAGTAAAAAGCCGCCAGAAGAGTCAATAACAAGGTGGCTTAATTTTAAAGTGAAGGGCAGGATGTTCAGAGGAGATTTTAAGAACAACTTTCATCCAGAGTGAGGTGGGGGTCTGGAATGCACTTTTTGGGAGGGTAGTTGAGGCAGAAACTTCACAGCCTTTGAAAAGTATTTGGATGAGCACTTGCAGAGTTGCAACTTTTAAAGCTAGGGGCCTAGCGTGGGAAATTGGGACCAGTGTAGGTAGCGGTGTGGTTTTGGTGGTACAGACTTGATGGGCTGAAGAGCTGCTTCTCTATGTAAGATTCTATGATTGAGGTGAATTGTGTAAATGCATTTGGGGAATCTAGACAAATGCATGTGTGAGAAAAGAAGGATATGTTGATAGGGTTCAATGAAGAAAGAGTAAGGAGAACAACGGGCATGTTGGCTTGAATGACCTGCTTCTTGGGTGTAACTGTGATGTATTGCAGTGTATATTTCAGTACTGGCATATTTCTAGTATGTCTTAGAGTGGAGATGCCATTGAGATATTACTGGTACATTGGAGTGTTCCACTTATACATTAGAATTGGTTTGCAATATTGTTATATTCTGATGAAGTGTCATTTGTAAGTTAGTACCCTGTAGTTATATTTTTGTTGATCTGTTGAAGGCATTTTAATGGTAATATGTTTGGCTGATGTATCTTACTATTGCTATTACATTACTATATGTCAGGATTGATATATTCTGATATGTATTTACAGTAATTTGTCCACACAGACTTTTATAATTGATACTTTGCTGGATATCTCAATGATGGTGTGTTGTGGATATAACATTGGTACATTGCTGGTGTTTCTTCATATTGCTTGTTACAGGAGTCACAAGGGAGAGAAGATATTTTACCTTGTCCCCTCTGACTTGTGTGAGGATATTCTGTATTATATTTTTGTGGTGCTTTAACTTCCCAATCTTCTCCATCTCATTTAGCCACAGAATTGAACTCAATGTAATTTGAAACAAGTTTTACGCACCATCAATGTGATTTCCTTGAGTGGACGTAATTTTTAATATTGACAAATTGTTAAATTTCAAGAAAATAAAATATGGAGAAATTAATACAATAAAAATAGCCAGATAGCTCTTCCAAATAGATGTGAACAATAAGCAAATGGTTTCCCCTGTACTTATGGTTATTAGAAATTTTTCGGCAAATGCATTCCCCAAACTATCTTTCCATGATTCTCAAGTTATCAATCTACGAAATACGAAGTTCTAAAAAAAATGAGATCTGACACCTTTGAGAGAGAGAAATTTCATTTAGGACTTATCCATAATTATCAAATAACCAAACTACTTGATCAATTAAAGAAGATAGATACCCCAACCTCTGGGTTGTTTTAGGCAGATTTGCATGGTTTCCACTCTATCTTTGCAAATATCTGAATCCTGACTCTATTGTACCACCCTATTGATGAGAATCTCTGAGATAAATATCTAGGTTCAAGTCCTACTCCAGAAGGCGAACATTTTATGCTACACTGAATGGGGTGTTATGCTGTTATTTTTCAGCTGAGACTTTTAACCCCATCTGGCCTTTCAAGGTGACCAAAAATTCCCACAGGTTTTACGTGAAGAGGAGCAATGACATCCCGGCCAATATTTATCCCTCAAACAATACCATCAAGCAGATTATTCAATCATTACCACATTCCTGATTGTGGAACCTTGCTGTATGCAAACTGTTGTAATCCTCTATAATTTAACAGTGACTGCATATAAAAAAAAATGCCTTCATTTCCATTACATGTAAAGTGCTCTTTATATCAGGAAAAAAGGTGGTATCAATGCAAGTTATTTATTTGTTTATTTATTTCCATAAAGTTCCTCCTTATATTTGATGCTTAAGCCCAGATTTCCCCTACTTATATGAAGGGTGGTTCAGTCCTTCCATGATTTCCCTCTTTTAAAATAATGCATTTTATGCTATTATTGTTGTTCACATTCTCACCCAGAGCCAATAAAAAAATCAATTGTCCTAAATCTTGCAGAACACACTTCAAAATACAAAGGGAAAACTTCAAATGCAGACTTTACTTTCTCATATAATATATTTTATATTATAGACATTAGGATGTTTAAATTTTAGTGTGTTGCTTTTATAAAGTTGATTTGTTGCTGTTATATTGTTATGATAGTGTTTTGATAATATGTTGTGTTATTAACTGATAGATCTCTTGAAGTACTGCTTGCAGCTAATCCTGAAGCTGGATTGTTTTTGCTTATGTTTAGCACAATTACATAACAGGTTGATCACAGATTAGCTGTACTATAAATAAACTTTATTCACACACTTGACATATTAAAACATGTTACAACAGCTAAGAGATACAAGTCTCATTGATATAATATTTAGACATAATTTACAGATCTCTTTCCAAAACTTTGTTCTTCTTTCTCCAAAACCTTGGCCTCAATTATATTTACTGTATTTATATTCCTGTTTTACCTATTAGTTAACAGGACTTATCAAAGCTACAACTATTTTTGTTTATTTTGTTTACCCATTCTCCCTCTCTGGGATTTTTTTCACTCTTAAGGATTATATTTCACCTTCCTTTGATTCCCATTTAATAATCATTAGTTCTTGCTAAAACTGTTCTTGGCCTACAATTAAAAAGGAAACATATGGGGGTCCTTATGTAGTGCAGTGGTAGTGTCCCCACTTCTGGACCAAGAGACCGGAGTTCAAGTCCCAACTGCTCCAGAGGTGTGTAATAATATCTCTGAACAGGTTGATTAGAAATTAGGGTAAAAAGTCTGTACAAAAACCAGACTCTTGAATTTGGCAATGAAAACTTAGACAATTAACTCAAATCAACCACAGAGTCATAAGCCAGTAACACATAAACATGCTTTTCAGATTCTACACTGCATTGGTGAGACTGTACCTGGAGTAGTGTGTACAATTTAGGCACTTTAATTAAGTTGGCATGTACTTACATGAGTAGCAATTCAGAGAAGAGTTACTACATTGATCCAGGGGAATGATTGAGGAGTATTCAATGAAAATAGAAGAACAAGAGGTGAATTAAAAAGAATGTGTAGAGGATTCTAAAGGAGCTTGATAGGGTAGATGCTGAATAGATGTTTCCTCTTGAAATAGGGTGCACAGCTTCAAAATAAAGCATATGACGCTTAACGCAATGATTCGGCAGAATTTCTTTTCTCAGAGAGAATTATACTCTTTGGAATTCTCTTCCCTAGACAGCTGTTGAATATATTCAAGTCTGAGTAACGTGGACTTTTGATCTTCAAGGGACTCGAGGGTTATTGGGGACAGGTAGGAAAGTGGAGTAAAGGCCACAATCAGATCAGTCATCATTTTATTAACTGGTAGAGCAAGCTCAAGCACCTGAATACCCATTAATGATCCTATTTCTTACGTCCTATTCTTATTAAACCATCAGTCTTTCTCAACAACATCAAGAATTGCTATTTAAACTCTATAAAACAATTAAAACCATGGCCCACACTTTCACATTTTGCCACTATTTGTGAGTTTTCTCTTGTGACACCATTTTCTGGTGTACTCTGGGTATTGTCGTTCCACATGAGCAGGGTAAAAAACAACTCCCATGATGCATCTCTCTCTCACATACAGAATTTATCCACAGAAGCTTGAATTCCCCAGCACCCAAGGCCCGGGTGAAATTTCCAACTCTGGGACTGAAGCAGAACTCAAGCCCTAGGCCACAGAAAAAGGGGCAGGCCTCTGTGGAGGGACCATCTAACAGGGATTTCTAACATTAAGTGATTAATTTTATTGGTAAGTTTAATTATTTTAGTGTGAATTATTCAATCTTATCTTGATCTAAATATTATGTTACAGATGTCAATTTATAGAACAAAATACTCAGCTGGGTTAGCAATCCTAAGCAGCAATGGAACCGTTCTGCCCAGAACAAATCGAATAATGTGGTTTCTAATGATGGCTTTTTTTTAATATGTAGGCTTGATATGAGACTTTTATTTCAAAGAATTGTTCTTTTAAAGTTTTCCATTTTATCAGAAAAGTATATCCTTCAATTTTTAATCTTTAACATTATTTCAGTGCACAAACCCTAATTATGCCTAACTCAAACTTGTGTTCCAAGCATATTTCAAAGTTGGCAAACTGCAGATATATTTTAATATTAGCCATGAAGCTGGTAGGTTTTAATCAAAGTTCTGGTGTTCCTAGGATGTTTCAATGTAGACTTATATCTATTTAAAACTGGGATTAAATTGGAGCGAAATATTTATTACTGATGTATTGTAGATATGCATTACTGCTGATGCTTTGCAGGAATTGGTTAGGTTCTGGTGCATCTCCATAGTTCAGTGTTTATGTACGACTGGTATATTTGACTATTGGTGTACTTTTATATTGCTTTGTTTTCTGCACACTTCGTATTTGGTCTATTATTGGCATATTGTGATGTTGACAAGTTTAAAAATATATATCAGCACTCTGTGGTTGGTAGAGAAGATTTTAGCACAGAAGAAGGCTAATCTTAGTCAATCTTCACTTGGTGGTTTAAGCCAACATGCTTGCAAATATTTAACCTTGTCTTTTGCACTTGCAACAGCTAACATGCAGTTCATGAGTGTAAGACTTCAGCCCAACAACTTTAGTGAAAAGTATGATGCTAATTATCCTACTTTACCATATTCTTGAATTCCCCTTAATTTTGGATGATTGTGGTTAATGTTATGACCAAGTACGGATAGGAATTCCTCTTTTTGCTACTGAGGTCAGTTAAAATAATGTTTGAATTTTTAAAACTTGTGTTTTTTCAATTCCGTTGACTATGTGAAGAAATAACAAATTAGATATTTTGAGTTAACAAAACTAAAGGCAGAATTTTCCCAGTTCCTGAACAACATGGGCAATAGTGACAAACGTGGGGAAATCAAGTGAGATGTCAAACAAGTCAATTTTAGACGTCAACTCCAAAATGTTACATTTTCTAACTAAATTTAGGTTATGAGATGAGATTCTCACTAGTGAACGCATCGTTGACTGTAAGAAGCATCTTGGTTTGGATATGGGGATGGTAGGGGGGTGATAGTGGATTACTTAATCTGGCAAGTTTATTCAATATCCTGGAGTTAGAGTTGTAAAGTGGTCAGACACAGATTTAGATAAATAGGTTATGTGGGGATGGATAGGTTTTGAACTATGTGATTGAAGGGAAGGGCTATCAAGAAAGGAATATTACATTTGGGGTTCACCAATAGTAAGAAGCTGAGACTGAAATTTTCTGCAACTGGTGTTGTAAATCATCATGATGTAAATAACAAGTTCAAATAAAGATGAAAATAGCTGCAACCACACATTCTGTGAGACAGGGGGCTTCAATTTCTTGTGATGTGAGGTCCTTCAAAAGGCAGTAGCATTACACAGTCATGCATACACTAAAGCTGAAACTTACTTATGGACACCACATACTGTATGTGAACATCAGGAATTAAGTCACTGTATGCAGTCCATATCCTGGCCCTAAGCACTCCCCACTACATCATGCAACATAACAAACCAATCCCACCAATAGCTGTGATGCAACAAAAATGCTTGGTTGCTTGGAAAGATTGACCATAGTCGCTGAAATAGCAAATACCCAGATTTTTCCATAGCCTGCACATAGTGAAGGAGCTGCTCAACTCCCACCTTCTATCACGTATCTTGTACTGCTAACAATGGCTGAGCTCTGTACCTTCAATGCTGTAATTATGGCTAAGCATTCAAAAACAGAGGATGAAGAAAATTGAACATATATTTATGTTACAACATAAAGAGAGACAACTAAATTGAATCAGACTCCCTATGCCTGTATTCACAACACAGTAAAATTAAAACATTCACTAACCCTCTAAATTGACCCCAATTGTTCCTAACCACACATTTTGAATAACAGGCTTTGTGAAAAGCCAATATCAGATATCAGGTTTATAACTTAATCAAAAGAATTAACAACTTATTGATCATACCATAGCTTTAGCAGAGCAAAATTAAACCACAAAGTAGTCTACTTAATATCTATAATTCTTTGATTTTTAGCCTCCCCACACTCTCAAAGACAGACAGATAAACAGATATACTTAAGGGATAAATCAGAATAAAAAAAAATGAGGTGTCACTGGCCAGTTCACTTAAGCAGAATCCACAACCTATGATATCACAGGCACACGGGATTGTATCTTAGATAACAAGGTGTAGAGCTGGATGAACACAGCAGGCCAGGCAGCATCAGAGGAGCAGGAAAGCTGACATTTCGGGACTAGACCCTTCTTCAGATTCTCCAGCATCGGTAGTTCCTACTACCTTGGGATTGTATCTTACTTGGTTTCTGAAGGCAGTGATGCATGCAAGTAGCTTCCAGTAGACTCTGAAGAATATTCATTTAATTCACATAACTGAGATTCTATTCTCTGAATTTTCAATATGAATAATGGGAGGACAACCAGGAAGCAATCAAACCTTTGTCTTGGAGCTTTGTCAGGCACAATTCTTGTGACTTAAAAGCTGTTCAAAAACCAGTTCAAACTGTGGTTTCTCTTTGTTAGACTTGTCTCTGTGCGAGGCCCCAGTTAACTGTCATCTGCCACCTGTTTGAGAATAATGCATCTCCGAAACTAAAACATCTAATGCATTCTTTGAACAAGAATCAGCCTACAATTAAATTGCAGGCCTGGCTTCATAAGCAAATATTGGTTTCTTTGTTTCTTTTTCTTTAACAAGCTGTTACTCACAGTTCAAAATGTAACCTTCAGCTCTCAGTGCACAGTGCACAGCTCCAAACCAAAATTATAAAAAAAATCAAATAATGAAGATCTCAACACTTAAAAACACTTAATATATTTACAGTGACTTGTCACTCATGTCACCTCTGTGACCTCGGGAGGCCTTCTTATTTCTTTCTCTCCCAATATGTCTCAGTGCTGTCCCAGGTTCCACAGCTAGGGTGGAGGGAGTTTGTACTACAATGGAGCCCTCGAAGGTTTGGTCAGACGATGCTGGAGGTGTTTTTGTCCAGAGGGACTAGACACACTGAGTGTGTCCTGAACCATGGCAGGATGCACATTCTTGGCTTGGACTCCCACTGGTTTGAGGGTGGAGGTAGAAGACCCAGCCACGTCTGTCATACTCTGAGCAGAACCTGTACGTGGTACCTCCTCTGGCTTGGGTCCCAGTAGTGCTGCTCTGTTTCATTGTAAGGAAGGACATTTCGAGTGAGCTGAAGGACCCTCATTCTCTTGTACATGGAGTAATGGAATGCAGGACCATGGACATCTCAAGCAGACTCTGAAACACCTAGACCTGGTGCTCCTGGAGGCAGTCAGACACTCATATACCAAAGGCAACAGATTTTAAACAAAATTGCTGCAGTCCTGTGTCAGATTGTCTAGTGCTCCCAACAGACCTGCCTGCTGCTCCTGTGTCTGCTCATGCAGGTCTATGAAGTCCTGCATTGCTGACACCATGAGGGTCCTTTAGTGCCTTGAGCTGAGCTAGTGCCTGGTCTACAACAGACCTCCAAGTGCCAGCTGCCTGGGGCATTTCTCCCTTGACTAGCTGCGGAGAAATGGCAGTGATGTGCTCACTAACAGATTTTCCTGACTCCAATCTAGCTAACATTCCCGCCAAGCTGCCAGTATCTGAGCTGGTGGTGGGTGCAGGAGGCAGCCTTGTTGGTGTTTTCTCTGACAGAGCTCAGAGGTGGAAAAGGGCAAGACTTGTGACAGTAGTCACACTGGACATCCTAGACAAAAGAGAGAATGCATTGTGCCAAAGGGGTAGAAGTTGTGGCATGTTAATTATACATTCAGGATGGGGGTAATGGGAGAGTAGTACTACAATGATTAATGATTTGTGCTTTGTTGCTGGGACATGGATGTTTCACAATCTGCACAGGACCTACCCCAGGCATCGCTGAGATCATAGATCTCAGAGAGGGTGAGGATCTTAATACCAGCCACTCACCAGCCTTCCTGGCTCTCAGTCCTATTGTGGATGTTTTCTCCTTGAATGAAAGAAAAGGAGGGATTGAGTGGGATGAAAGTAGGAGCACAGCTGTTAGTACCGGTGCAGGCGAGGGAAAAGTGGTGACATGTCCCAAGTGAGTGAGTAGTTTGTGCAGTAATGAGTAGTAATGACACTTAGCCAATTTCTGGTAAAATCCAACCTGATGAGTTGTAAAACCCTCTCAGCTATTATGTAAAACTAATTAAGAAGTTAAAACCCATCCTGAATTCATTGATGTGTATATATTAACATGCAGAAGGAAACAGTTCAAATTGTAGCTTAGCGGTGGTGAAGGTGATAAAAGTTAAAATTCATAAGAGAAAAAGAAACCTACACTCCTTCAGTAGTCCTGAACCTCTCATTGGGTTGGGGCTGATGCCAGCTGTCTGTTTTCCTGGGGATTATCTTTTAAACTATTCATTTTGCAGAGTGGATGTTGTGGCACTCCAAGTTCCTTTTGGGTTATAGTTATAATCTTTGTGTAGTCAGAAATGTAACAAAGACAGTATGTAAACTTGGGAATTAGCAAGCGAAAATCATGCTGTATTTTGCAAGGCAATCTGATGTTATTGTTGCATTCTGTAGATTCTTCTCAATGATGCAAGCAGATAAAGCTTTTAATGTTAGTTTTTCCAAGGTGAGATTTTAATTGTGGAACGATTGGCTGTTGGCAGGCAATGGAGGCAATCTACTTTGACGAAGAGGCTTTGATTGCCCAATGTCAAAGCTACTGAGATACTATTGAAATAGAGTCCTCCTTG